CGCGTGGCTCTGAGCGGGGCTGGGGCGGCCCCTGTTGGGGATTGGAATAGGTTACTTACAGAATATCAGGATTCATCAGGTGATCGCCTAAAATTAGGTTAAATTGAAACCTGAGTGGCTTTGCTTGGCACAAGCGACTGGAGTGCAGAAGCCGTGGGCCACAAAGCATAACTGGACTGTAGTTGAACAGTCGTTTAGTCAAAAAGGAGAAGTACTGGGAGTCTTGCACAACGAGATAAACTGGACCAAGCCCATAATTCAAGGGAAAAACCTTCAAAGAGAGAAACCGTTCCATCTGAAGTCAACAGAAGACAGACGAGACCCAAGTGCGGATAAGATGGGAGGATGATGAAACTGCACGAGCAGATAAAACTCGAAAGATGTTACTGCAACCATCCTAGAGGAAAAGCAACTGTTAAATTGATCAGACAAAAAGTCCGTGCATTTTGCGTGGACAGGCGTGTGAACACCTCATGTAATAGACTGTGAGGCCTTAAAAGGCACAGGAAAATAACCGAGGGGGTCCCTCCTCATCGAGGCACCCAGCTTGAGCTGAAATAAACCGACTCTGTGGCAGAACCTGGGGTCCGAACTCTTCTTTCCCGTTGGAGGCTAAGGCTGGATCCAGCCGCACCTGGACTCCTCTCTGAGAAGTTTAGAAGCAAGAGGGTCCAGTCTGAACCTTGCAACTCGGCGGGAGGGATTCTTGGACTCTAGTATGACAGTCCCGAAGCCCCTCTCCCCCGTGCTGCTCGGCGACCCTGTGCTCAGAGCCAGCAGCTTCCGCCTCGCCACGAAGCGGCACCCACAGCTCCACAGCCACCCAGTCTTCAGGGACCGGTGACGCGACAGGGAGCACAACAAGGTCTCCCTGGCCCCAACACGCTCTCACCCCTCCCTGACAGCACTAAAATGACAAAGGAACCTGCTCGGTTGGTGTGGGGCTGGCGGTGGACATTGTCTACCTGGATTTCTCCAAGGCTTTTGACATGGTTCCCCACAGCCTCCTCCTAGAGAAACTGGTGCATTACGGTCCAGACAAGTGGCCTGTACGGTGGGGTGGAACTGGCTGATGGCTGTACCCGGAGGGGGTGGTCAATAGCTCCTTCTCAAACTGGAAACCTGTCACAAGCAGGGTCCCCTGGGGATCAATACTGGGCACAACGCTGTTTCATATCTTCATAAGTAATGCGGATGATGGGATCAAGTGTACCCTGATGAAGTTCACTGATGATATCAACCTGAGTGGGTATGTGGACACTTGAGAAGGGGGAGCCACCCCGCAGGAAGACCTGAACAGGCTGGAAGAGTGGGCTAACAAGAACCTTATGAAGTTCAACAAGGACAAGTATAAGGTCTCGCACCTGGGAAAACATAACTCAGGAGTGCAGCACAGGCTAAGACCCACCAGGCTGGGGAGAAGTTCTGTGGAAAGAGACCTGGGGGTCCTGGTGGACAACAAGCTGAATATGAGTGAACAGTGTGCTGCTGCAGCAAAGAAAGCCAACAGCACGCTGGGTTGCATCAACAGAGGCATCACCAGCAGAGAGAAAGCAATCATTGTCCAACTCTGCTCAGCTCTGGTCAGGCCACACCTGCAATATGGTGTGCAGTTTTGGTCCCCACTATACAAAACAGATGTGGACATGCTGGGGAGGGTCCAGAGAAGGGCCACCAAGATGATCCAAAGACTGGGAAGCCGGCTGTATGAGGAAAGGCTGAGAGAATTGCGTTTGTTAAGCCTCAAGAAAAGAAGGCTCAGGCAAGACCTTATCACCATGTTTCAGTATTTAAAGGGTGGCTACCAAGAAGATGGAGACTGCATTTTTTACAAGGAGTCACACGGAAAAGACATCAGCTAATGGGTACAAGTTACTTGCTCCTGGGGAGATTCTGACTGGACACAAGAGGACAATTTTTCACCATGAGAACAATCAGCCATTGGAATAATCTCCCCAGGGAACCCTGCGGTGAATTCCCCAACACTGGATGCTTTTAAGATTGAGCCAGACAGACAGGGTGCTGGGCCACCTTGTCTAGGCCGTGCTTTTGCCGAGAAGGTCGGACCAGATGGTCCTTGAGTCCTTTCTGACCTGGGATTCTATTTCTATGCAACACCTTCGCAGCCCCCCCGCCGTCCCGCAGCTCTGTACCGTGTACCGCCCTCGGCGAGCCCGACACCCCGCCCATGCAGGAACATATCTATTCTTGTTACCACTGAATAAAAAAGGGTGGCGCCGCAACCCGCTCAGCCCGCGCTCTCTCCCTCCCGACCGAAGCCGGGAACGGTCATCGAAGGCGGCGGCGGGCCCGCACACACCCC